CCATATAATAAAGATTTATTTTGATATTATTTTACCTCTTCCCTATCTTTAACAGGACTGGTGTACAGGCGTTAAACAGATGCAAAAATCTTGAAAACTAATCTCTCTCCAAATGAAAATACTCTTACAGAGTATCATAGATTTTTAATGAACAAGTAATTGCATGCTTGTCCAAATAATTTGGTTCACAGTTTGATGTTTTATGTTCATTACTTAATACAACTGTAACAATTTTTTTTTAAAAAAATTCCAGCTGCCCCGTATCATTTTTTATATTTGAGCTACTCTTGAAGATTGTTCAGGATTACCACCACTACTGACAGCATCATGTTAAGTTTGGGAAATCAGAAACACAATCAATAGAGCAAGAGTTGCACTTACTACCTTTTGGTTCCCAATCATTTTGATAAGGCCTTAAAAATCCATGACTTCAACCTGCATGCTGCTGAACTAGTTTTGCTGTACAAACGTCATTGCTCACCAGTTAAGATCAGCTACTAGGCCGCACACAGAATGTCTTCTAAGGAAAGCAAATGGGTAGCATAAGCATAGATGCAACGAACATGAAATTGAGCAAACTTCAGAGGATGGCAGAAGACAGGAAGGCCTGGCGTGATCTGGTCCATGGGGTCGCGAAGAGTCGGACTCGACTGTGCGACTGAACAACAACAAAGCATAAGCAGGAGCTTCTCAACAGTAACGGAGGCACTCTGGTGACATATTTCCAGAGAAGATACATGAATGTAACACCTAACTGAAATACAGAGCACACACAAGAGCATTGGCCTAATGAGAGCCTGAGAATTAAGAGTTATTTTTCGCCACTGGAAGGAGGTGCAGAATTCTTTTTTTTTGTGGAAAAAAACTGTGGGAAACTCCACAATTATAAAGATAAAAGGAATGATTCTAGAAGCCACAGTTATTTAATAAATGAAACAACAAATGCATTTTTGGACTAAGTTTTATTTACAGATCACAGTGATTTTCATTGTGCAATTAGGACTGACATGTATTTGTACAGTACTTATACACGTTAGAACTAGCAAGCAACTTCTCAGACTTCCAAGGCTGACTTACAGATGTCGATGTAACAAATTTGGTTTTGTACACAGATGCAACTATCCCTTACTTACTGTACAGCAGGATATTTATAAAGCTGTCACGTTTGCCATAGAAAAGTGCAAAACATAGGAAATCTGTACACAGTACAGTACAAAGGAATCATGCTACAGTTCTTGAAAGCTGAAAAATTCTTCAGTGTAGGAAGCTCAACTCTCCTGTATGGCAAGAAGATTGCTTGATTGCTTACCACTACTTATTTTCTTTCAAAGACTTGCTTATTCAGTTAAACATCATTAAGATAGTGGACCACTTTGGTTAAAACTCAGAAGCTTCTTTTAGTCAAGGACATTTAGAGGACAATCTATGGTATGTTCTCTATTTACAGTGCATCATAGTTACAATTATGCTAATGATCCAAGTTACAGGGCCTTCAGAAAGAGCTAGCAGTGGCTCGGCTTGGCCTATTGATCAAGTACAAAAGTTTGACAGTTACAAAAAAAGTTCCTAAAGAATTTAACTGTTATAGAAATAGCCACCTAGTAATAAGGATTAGTTGTAGTAAAACAATGAATAGGTATATAAAGAATTAGGGCTAGGTTGTTCACTCTTAAATATTTCTCTGCATGTGTTCATGAGCATTATGCATGGATGCATTTGGGGGAGTTTACGAGCACATTTTTTTTTAGCTCAGAAGAGTCTGATCTGGTGGAATTGTATACTGATTTCATGATTAAAGTAGCAATGCAAATACAAACTGATTTTGTGATGTGTGGGTATTTGCTAATTGTTTACTGGCAACTGATTAACAGGTCTGTGTCATATATAACTGGACCATCAATTTTGTTTGTAACCTTTCAGTGACACTCCCCTCCCCATTATTCCAAAATAAAACAGCACAAATCAGGTACTCATATGGTAGGGGAAGGAATGCCTGTATTAGTCCACCATGTTGCCAGTCTAGGCACCTGTGAGCTTGGCTCAAGTATCTCAGAAAGTCTCCTTATTGGCTGTGTTAAAAGTACCCAAGGAATTTTAAAAAGAAATCTCACACAGTACAAATTTCTCTCCAATACCAAACACATGTAGGAGGTAAAAATAATATTCAAAATTCAAAAGATTAATTATTAAACAGGCATTTTCCCAAAGCTTTGAGTTGGGAATTTCATACCAGCAAAGCATAATATTCTAAAAATAATCAGTAAAAATTAATCACAGGAAGGATCAGCATGTAAAATGATTTTGTGAACTTTTCTAGAAATGGCATAAACTTTTAATAAGGCTCTTTTCCTATATAATTTTTATTAGTTTGAGACATAAGTGTATCAGGGCACCTATTGCTCATAAGAACAGTGGATCTGACTGCTATTAAATACTATACCCTGACACTTACAAGCCATCATGAGATGTCCTTATCCTAACTGGTGCTTGTACAAATCGACTGAGTACTATGATCAACATAGTGACTGTAGCATTTCCTGGTATCCTACTTCATTGAGTGACCTTTTGTCCAGCATAGAGCCACAGTGCAAAATTTGGAGACACTTCAAACTTCAGCATTAGTAATATCTTGTGAAGTGATGTGTCAACATCACCTTTACATTGTATTATTTTAAGAGAAACTATGTTTTAAAAATGCACCTTCACTAATGCATCTGAAGTTAATTTTTTAAACAGCATTTAATGCATGGTAGTCCATGGTCCAAATGAAATCCAAAACTGGTCTATTTTTTATAGCTACATAATAGCCTTTTCAACAACTAGATACTTACCACTGAAATATAACTGAGGTGAGAAGCAGTACAATTTCAGTGGCTTTGCAACCAAGTGAATGCTTGGATTTATTATATGGTATACTATGTATTAAGTGCACAAGGTCAGTTTCCAACTTCTAGCAGCTGCTGCTGAGGTATCAATGATTCCCAATAGTAATACAAAGGTTAAGTTGAACAGTGAGGGCAAAGAAGGATAACCACCCCATTAACTCATCTATTAGAGTCAGCTATAGCAATACTGGGATTCTTGAGACTCCATATACTTTGAAATGAAATCACTTTCATCCTTAATATCCCGTGCTCTAAAACATTACCTACAATAGTTATTAGGAGCACTGTTTTTTTATGTCCAGAAGTATAAGATTTATGGAAGAATTTATTACCAGTTTACTGTATCCATTCTCTTGTTTATGGCAAATCCAATAGCTTAACAGCTGGAGAACAGACATGAACAGGAAGTACAATGCATTCTATTAGAAAGTACCTTCGTTTACTGCAAGTGAAATGCCAAGGTTCTGCAACTAGGAATGCCAACTTTGGCGGGTTCACACTGAAAAGAACTGTGTAAGTCACAATTATGCTGTGTGTTCAGAATCAGCAGATATAGTAACACTGCTGCTTGTTCCCAGATATGTACTCTATGTGCTGACTGCAAATAGCATAAAAACAATACAGAAGAAAGAGGAACAGGACTCATGTGGAAGCTGGATAGGCAACATCAGGGCATTGAAAATGAAGAACTCTACCCACTGGTAATTGGAAGACCCACCCAGAGACCACCTCTGACTTATTAGGCCTCCACACAATGTGATGAAGGACGTTCTTACCATCAAAAATGAAAGCTGAAATATTGGAGAAGCCTCAGGGTGACTTCGCAGAGGCAGGCAATGGCAAACCATCTCTGAATGTCTCTTGTCTTGAAAACCCTAAGGGGTTGCCATAAGTCAGCTGTGACTTGACAGCATTTTCTAACACCACCACTCAGGCTCAACAGATCACCTCTCTGGCCTATAAAGCAACCTGATCAAATTGACTAGAAACCTAGACAAGTCTTTAACTTTATCAAGTATGTGTGATGCTCTTAACACTATGAGTTACAAAAGGAAAATAAGTCTTTTTTAAAAAAAATGTGTACAATGGATGGGCATCTATCAAGTTTGCAGATGTTCTATCCTGTTATTTGAGAGAGCTTCAAACATAAAAAGAAATACTCTGAATTTAGATCTGCTGGAATTTTATTCTTCAACACATGCCCATTCAAAGTTAAACTTAGCAAATGTTAAGTACTGAAACTACCTAAAATTAGTTCTATGTTTGAGCAGTCTAGTTTTAAAAATATAAAAAATGTAAAGACAACCTCATGATATGGTAAATGCATATTACCACTCTTCACATTTTATATTTTCTGGTTTATTCCAAAAGAACATGTTGTATATTTATGGGAATGGAGATCAGTTGACATACAGAAGATCCTCTTTTGGAGTTACATGTGTATGCATGTTACTTGATGGCTCAGAAGACTAAACTGTACTAAGCCTGAGATTATGTCAGATAACATTAAAAGCTGTGGTGTTCTGTTTTGACTCAGAATCTCCTGCAAATGTAATAAATCTAAGTTATACCTTGACTGCAATGGATTTAGAAGGGTTTCTACTTAGGACTGCACTGCTAAAGTCAGCAAAAACAGATTTCCACATTACCAGCAAAAGGTGCTGTAACAGATGTCTTGCCATGATTTCATATATTGAAGGAAAAAATAACACACTTTACATAGTCTGTAGTTACCAAAAATAATGATGCACAAAAACATCATTCTAACTGAATTTTGAAGAAAACATTGTGATGCAATCTAAAGGGAAAAAAAATAAAACAAGGCCCTTTTATCTTTCAGCTTTCAAGTATTATGGCTGCAACTGTGAAGCACTGGAAATTTTACATCTTTTCAAAACTTACTTGTATATTTTTACAAAGAATTATAAAACATATATAAGATGCTGAAAAACCTATTTAACCTTTGAAGTTTTTTTTTAACTTCTAGACAGCATCTTGAAAAACATTTAAGAATAAAAACCATAGACTCTGTAAAGTACAAAAATGTACACTTCTGCACAGCTTCTGTGCTTTAGCTGTTTGATTTCTTTATATACATATATAATAATTTGTGCTTCAAATGACAACTTTAGTAAAACTTATAAAGTTAATTTATATGAGGCAACTATGCAAAAAGATTTGGGCATAGCAAGAAACAAACTAAATATAAACTTTAATTTTAAAAAAAACTATACCAATTTTCAACGAGGCTACCTCAGGGTAGGTGCTTCAGTATTTTAGTTTACTCAACTAATGCCAAATCTGAACAACTAAATATGAAAATCATTAATTCCTCCAATTCTTAAAATTATTTTAAAGACTGTGCATAATGGAGCAACGTGCACTCATTTCAAAGAAAGTCTTCATTAATATTTTCAGTTCTTCTTTGTGAGTTCCCAGCAAGGATGATCTTCTTCCAGTTTCTAGCAAACAAACAAACACACCGGCTTAGTTTATGGATTATCACATTTACATGTAGTAGATATTTGGATCCGCTTACTATTTATGTTGCCCTAACTTGGATGGGTCAGCCCTAGTTAGTATTTGGATGGAAGACCAGCAAGGAGGTCCAGGGTCCCTCTACACAGAGGCAGGCAACAGCAAACCATCTTTGTTCATCTCCTGCCTTGAAAATCCTACAGGTAACCATAAGCTGGCTAGGACTTGGCAGCAGTTTCCACTTCCACTACTTATTTATTTCATTTACATTCTGCCTTTCTCACTGAGACTCAAAGTGGATCACAACTTTAAACAGTAAGAAGAGAAATACATACAACCAACAAAATTAGAAGAAAATGCAAAAATGCAGACTTTGCTATAACTGCCAACCAATTTAGTCTGCTGCATGGCTAGGGTTGCCAACCTCCACGGTTTGGCAGGGGTCCCCTGCTTTTTTGGGGGCTTCTACCCATTGGTGGCCAGCTGGCCGCTGGGGGAAGCCCCCCCAAACCCCAGCACCTGCCGCCACCCCTCTCCCTTCTCTCTTGAGAGAGAGGAGGGAGAGGGGTGGCTGCGGGGCAGCCGACTGGGTGTGTAGAAATGCCGGCTCCCTGCAGTTAAAGGGGCCCCTTTAACTGCAGGGAGCCAGCGTTTCCACATGCCAGATCTTCGCGGAGGTCAGACACGTGGGGAAATGCCGGCTCCCTGCAGTTAAAAGGGCCCCTTTAACTGCAGGGAGCCAGCGCCCCTGTAGGGCAGGCGGGTAGGGACATCCCCAACATGATGTCATCACATTGGGATGCCCTGCCCCCTCCAGGAACACCCCCCAAAGTCCCCCACTGGGGGGGGGAAGATAGGACTTGGCAACCCTATGCACTGCTGTATATATCTCTGATTTTTACAGTAGCTAATAATCAATATATGGAAAAGTGATGTATTACTACTAAATCGAACCACTGCCAGTAACCTTATACTCTCTTTCTCCATGGCAGTAAAAATATGGAACAAAATTATTATTTTAAAATGTCTGCCGCCTGTCAGCCAAAGAGGACCTCAAAGACACTTCAAAAGGGGAAAGAAAGAAAAACAATGTGATTGTCTAAAGTATCACAGTAGCTGTTTAAAAACACTGTGAGTTGTGTATTGTGATGGGTTAAGCCTTCTCAGGCTTGCCTGCAATACATGGCTTGTGTTATCCTAAATCTGCTTATAAGCTCCTAAGGTGGTGCAGAAGCCCCTGACTTGAAAAGTGTTCACAACCCAACACAGTGGCTAGTCCAAACTGCTGCTGCAACAAGCAATGAGGCTATCCAATCAGTCATCAGCTGGCTGGGGAAGAAGAGTATTTCTCCCTTCTGTCCCCTCCCTGTAGTTCCTAGGATCCTGACATTAGGATTTCAGCTGCCCTGGAAGCAGTATGTTCTGGGTACCTCAGTCACAGACAAACAGTGCAAAGCAACCTTTGTTCCCCCCAGGCATCCTTCATGATAGCAGCAGCTCAGGGCTCTTTTTGTAGCAGGAACTCCTTTGCATATTAGGTGACACACCCCTAAGTGTAGCCAATCCTCCAAGAGCTTACACAGCTCTTCTTACAGGGGCTACTGTAAGATCTTGGAGGATTGGCTACACTAGGGGTGTGTCACCTAATATGCAAAGGAGTTCCTGCCAGAAAAAGAGCCCTGCAACGGGGATTGGGTGGGGGAAAAAGTACTGAGGGCGAAAAAGTCATCTTTGTTCATTTTGCAGTGCAGATGAGCATCAACATGCTGCTGAAATTCAAACTGAATGTCCAAGAAGTGCAAACTTTTAGCATCTCTTTTAACTGTAACCAAAGAATTCTGTTAAGAAAGTAAATAGTTGCTTGGGCTGTTTTCACAAGTTTTTTCCCCACTAGCTTGCACAGAAGTTCATGCAGTGCTGTAATGGACAGCTTCTATTGCCATTCTCAAAATTCTGATTGGCTAAGAAGTTATGCAAGTTTTCACAAGATTTTGTGTAAACAACAGAATATTGCAGGATTTAGTTTCATTTTTGTGAAGCAACACTCTAAAAAGAATTCTTCTGACTGGAAGGTATCAGCTACATGTGAAGCAACACCTTTAGATCCAATTCATCATCCTTTGTGCAACAACAAAGAAAATTTATCATCAAACTTACTATGTATGTTTGAATAAATCTTAGAAAAAAACAAATATACAATACCTTAAATAAGCTTTGTGTCCCCACTCCTAAAAGTTTTTGAAAATTTCTAAGTCTCTAGCAGATACAGGAGGCGTTTTGTTCCAGTCATCTTCAGGATAAGCTTCAAAATTAGATGTATCACCATCATTTGATACCTTCGGCACTATAGGAGGCTGAGTAAGAAAAAAATACCCTGAATAAATTACACTTAAAACTCCATTGTGAGGCTGACCCTAGAGATTTTGCTATAGGACAGGACATAACATCAGCTCAAGCTGCTTTGTCTTTAGATGTCTTAATTGTATCAATGACTTCTGAATCTGTCTTGTCACTCAGTTAATAAAATGGATTTTGCAACAATTCATTGAGGATGTTCCTAGTTGTAGTGTAAGCAACTGGCCTGAATTTGCCTGTAACTTAAAAGATTATCTTCACAAGCCTTTTATACAGCATAAAAGGTACCCATTAAATGAGATGTCTAGAATTATGTAAATCATAGCAAAGGGCTCAAATGAAAAAAAAAATGCAATTCACCTTTAACTTTCTTTGAGGTACAGCATCCCAGTCTATAGATCTGAACCATCGGTGCCTCTTCACATCATCTGCTCCATTCTGTCAGGGAAAATATGTATATGGATTTATTTACATATCAGGAAGTTGCCATTTATATTACCCAAAGCAAAAAGCTATCCTCCTATAAGCCTTGGTGACTCAATCTGATTTTTTCATCTGTGAAAAATGGCCTTTTCAGTTCATATTCAAATTAACCCAGGTTTTTTTGGCAATACCTTGAATACCTGATTTCCCTATGGTGTCTTTGTTCCAAAGATGGATTCCATTTATTTCAAATTACACTGCACAACCCAGGTTGTTTTTTTTAGAGAGCAAGTAATATAACCATGTAAGAATTGGAAGATACTTCTGCTGCTGGACAAACACTCCTGTGTTCAGTCCCAAACCAATCAACATTTGAAAATACTTGATGGGCACAGGCACTGATTGGGGAAGCTGATAAAATTAACTGACACTACTCCTAGTAGTAGTCATGCTTGAGAATCCAGAAACAGTAATTGGTGGGAAAGGTAAGCTTGTCCTCTGTTTAAAGAGTAATCCTCTGTGGCTGATTACTATCCCTTCCCTTTTAAGAAAAATATAAGGGCTGTGGCAGCAGGCATTTTTGCAAGCCATGGTGAGTATAGATCAAAGGTATATCATTGGCTCAGAATATAGGCCATAATATTGACCTAGAACAATGGGACCAAATGTGGAATAACAGCATAAAAATTACAAAAGCTATACCCTATAAGGAAAATGTGTATAAAATGTACTATAGATGGTATATAACACCAGAAAGGTTAGCGAAATATGATAGTAAATGCTCAAATAAGTGTTGGAAATGTGAAAAGAAGGTGGGCTCGTTTTATCGTATGTGGTGGCACTGTGAAATGAGTAAAAAATATTGGGCATGGATGCATGAATTATTGCAAAAAGTGCTAGGTACGGCCATTCCATTTACACCTGAAGTGTTATTATTAAATATTTTGCCGAAAGATTTTAGTAAGGATGACTGTTACCTTATTGTATATTTGACTACTTCCGCTAGAATTTTATATGCTAAATATTGGAAGACATCTGAGACAGCTACGAAACAAGAATTTATAAACAAAGCTTTGAAATGGACAAATTGACTTTATTGATGAAGGGACAAATTGACTTTATTGATGAAGGGACTCTGCATTCTAGAATACTTGGTCATGATTTTATAGCTGGTATAATAACTATATAAAGGTAGAAATAAATAAATGAAAAAGTCCAAGAAAACAAAGTTCATATAACCCAATAAGGCAGAAACTTAATGATATTTACTCATAGTATATAGTTGTAGAAAATAATGTTTGTATTTAGGCAGAAGAAATATAATAACTATGAAGATTTATTACCCCCATCAATGTCAATGTTTTGTATGTATGTGTTAATGTTTGTATGTTAAGTTTGTATTGTTTTGTGATGGAAAAACTTAATAAAATTCTGCCCTTAGGGGCAGTTAAAAAAAAAGTATATCATCATTACACGAGTGTTAATTTTAGCTGTTCTAGGTTCTGGAAGTCAGTGCCAATGGCATTGTAAACTCAAATATTAAGATCAAGTGACAACACTGCTTCCTCAGGAAAAACAAGAAATAATTCAAAATAGAATTGTATTTTTGTTGCCAAATAGAAGGATTTCTAGAAATTCCAAAATATCAGTCAAGGAGCCCATGTCACTACAATCTGAATACACCACACTCATTTTGTTCTACATACTGAAAGTATGGCAGTGCTCAACGTTTATCAGATGCAAAGGTCATTTACAAAGAGTTCAGATTACAAATACCACGTCTTTCCCATAATTAGAATGATATATAATATCAAATACCTATGTTTTTTCTTGAAGCCTAATGTATTAGATTTTGGTCTCAAAATAATTTGCCAGACTGAAAGAAAATCATACATGTCTGTAATGATTTGAATCAACAGATTAAGGCCTGTCTTTAATATTTAAAATTTACCTTCATGTTCCCTAGCCGTCTTGTTCTGTCAACCACAAGCAGCTTTTTAATAAGGTCCCTGTACAAATGGGAAAATATTAGTTATATTCAAACCTAATATATTTAACATAGCCGCCTGGACAGACACTGTCACACTAAAATACATTGTATAGGTTTTTACCTCCAAAGGCCAAGTTTACTGGAATTTTAACGACAATAATGAGAACCAAGAACAATATTCACCTTTCAGCTCTGTGATTAATAATTGAATTTCAACCACATGACTTAACATGTTCTGAGTTCTTCACAAATCTATGCAAGCCGGTCTGTCAACAATCTAATTTAATTAATTGGCCCACTGATTATACTCAGATGTCACAGTAAACCACACCACAGTTCATAAAATACGATTTGATTAAATTCTAGTTAAGTGTCTAAATGCACACTACCCAAAATATGGATAGTAGGCAGATGCTAAAACTAGAATTCTAAACCACGGCTTGGGCTTGTTAACTCTGGTTACAGCAACTGTAGTTGATCATGACATTTCAGTGCAGAAGTCAGTTTGTTCAGTAGCACCATCTCTCTATGAGATGGATCCAACCAGCTTTTCCACTGACAAAAAAGGGAGGAGAAAGTCCCCTCTGATCACCAAAAAAGGCTATGCTGGAGATCAGTAGGCCTGTGCATACAAAAGGGTTGCATGGCAGGAGTTGGGCTAAGAAGGGGCAGTGAGTGACAAAAGTAGCTGAACTCAACCCTCCATCTTCAGCATACCGGTATGGACATACAGGACAACAGAAAAGCTTTCAGCTGCAGCTATATACAGCTTTCTTGGGACTCTGCTTCCCATCACTTTTTCTCCATGCCTCATCCCACTAGTGATGATTAAAAAAAATCAGAGGTACAGGAAGTCAGTGGAATAGATATTCATTATTTATTTTAATGTACAAAATTTATAGACAAGTAAGAGGAGGCAACACTCTTAGTGAAGAACAAGGAGGAGCAGATCATGTGGTTTGCATATGGTACACTACCCGGTTTGTGCAAACGTGGTTTAAACAAACCAGGCTACTGTAATGTCTGAAAGCAGCTGTTAGGCTTGCCAGCCTCCAGGTGGGGCCTGGAGATCTCTCGTTTTTACAACTGATCTCCAGCTGAAAGAGATCAGCTCCCCTGGAGAAAATGGCTGCCTAGAAGGGTGGACTCTATGGCACTGTACCCTGCTGAGGCCCCTTCCCTCCCCAAGCCCCGCCCCTCTCCTGGATCCACCCCCAAAGTCTCCAGGTATTTTCCAACCCAGACCTGGCAACCCTAGCAGCTATAGGAAGCAATATCACAGTAAAAAAACAGTTTCTACTATTTATTTTATAAAATTAGATACAGTTATATCATTTTTCAGTGACACACAATTCTAAGTTATCGCTGTCATTACTACTTTAAATAAAAGCAACTGAAGTTATCGTTGTCATTACTACTTTATCTAAGTTAAATTATCGTTGTCATTACTACTTTAAATAAAAGCAACTGAAGAACCCAGTTGAAACAGACTTTTATTTTCATTTTTGCTCTCAATATTGCTGAAAGGTTTCTTGAATAAAAGCTGTTTTAATATGCTTTCAGCTAGTCTACTGAAATTCTGTTTTTGCAGTTTTTGAACAAACTCACAATCTCAAGAAACCTCTTGAAACACAGGAGCAAAGGAGCTGAGCATTTCCTGAGCTTGTTAACCAAGCCTGATGAAGCTCCTTGATTGGAGTTAAAGCTTAGACAGAATTTCTTTATATACTCTCGGTAAGACCTTTATTCAAGCCAATGCACTTACTTTACATATAAATCCAAATGTCTTGGGAAATCTATTTTGCCAGCAAGTATCTTCTGATATATCCCAAATGGGTTATCATCGAAGAATGGAGGAAATCTGTTCAGAGGGGAACACACAACAAAATACAGCTGGGTCTGAGAAGCACAATGCAAGCAACATTACCAAGAATTTACTATCTGCTCTTCAAATATTAGGCTTTTCATGCAGCTCTACACCTACTGAAGGAAACGTCGGTGACATGTGAAGTTACTGAATACTTCACCAGTTCCACAGAAACAGAGGAACAACTTTCCTAAAATAATCTTTCAACAGATACAAAATTGCTTTGTGAAACAATTATATAGGTCTTTAAAACTTCACAAAAAAGAGACATAATTTATACATTTTTTTTTCCTATTCTGCTTTTCTGGCTTACTCTACTTAGATGCTTGCCAAACCAGCTCCCTTCCCGACATAGGCTCTGCAGTTCACTTATTCTGCAGCTGCAAAGCAAAGGTCAGAGGAAAGACATTGTGGAAGAACCACTGCTAGGTGGTCACTCTACTAACCTTTCTTTTAAACATGTAATTTCAACTTCATACATAAACTGTTCATAGCCTTGCAAATAAAGCAGGACAATCTGCAAGGACTTACAGGGGGATCTCATTTTCCCCTCCCCACTCTTTTTTTTCTTTTTCTTCCCTAAAAGCCCACACAGCTTCTTCCTTTCCCTGTTTCTTTCTCTCCTTCCCATGCATCAGCCAACCTTTTATCTGTCCTCCATTGTCAGCTACATTTATTTATACTCCATTTTTTCCCTCCCCAGTGGGGTCCCAAAGCAACTTACATCATTTTCCTCTCCTGCATTTTATCCCCATAACAACCCAGTGATATAGGTTAGGCTGAAAGAGAATGACTAGCCTAAGGTCACCTGGTGAGCTTTCATGGTAGAGTGGGGATTCAAACCTGGGTTTGAAACTTTGTTACAGACTTCTGGTTTATGGCGACATGCTGGCGAACACACCTTCCAGACCTCCCGGGGGTGCGATCTGTGCGCTAGCAGTTAGGAGGGGAGGCAACTGTTTGCCACCACCAGTGTTCCCTCTAAGCTGAATTATTGTGAGGTGGCTCACAGTTTTTTAGCCTCCGGCTCACACATTTTCACCTTAGCTCAGGAAGGGTGGCTCCAGAGCAAATTAATTTATGCCGTAGCCAAATCGCTTGCTCACCACATTAATGCCAGTGGCTCACACAGTAGAATTTTTGCTCACAAGACTCCACAGCTTAGAGGGAGCATTGCCCCCCCCGGAGCCCTTGAGAAAGGCTCCTAGCCATAGGGCTTTTGAAGGGTGACCTCTTCGCCAGTGTGTTGCTGGGGAATTGAGGCACTCTTCTGCCTTGACGGTCCTGCTGCTATGTGTCCAAATGGAACTAGAGCTGATGACCAGGACAAGCGTCAGAGATCGAGCGTTTTAAATGGACTTTAAGCGAGGTCTTATGACCAACAAAGAACAGTGAGTTGAATAAAAGCGAAATGCCAGTAATTTAAAAAGAAAGCCCTCCCCTGGAAACGGTGAGAAAAGCAAGCAGGGGAGGGGCCCCTCCCACACGCATAAACTAAAAAGCGATTTAACAAGGGGGGAGTGGAAGTTAAAGCATTGAAATCTGTTTTAAGAAACTTACCAGAGCATGGATAAGCATATGGGCGAATGTCAGAGACTTTAGCAAGTTTATACAAAAGTAAACAATCCATAAATGTGGCATGGAAAAAAGCGGAGAGAGAAAAACAAGCAAAAGTGAAACCACCAGGGAGCATGAGCCCACGGCTGGAAGAGACCACTGAGTTCTCTAAGCTTTTGGCGGACTCTTTGCACCCTCTACTGGATCAGATGACTAACATCAATCAACAGCTGACAACTTTAAACCAGAACTTTGCAGCTCAGCAGCTCCAACTGTCTGAAACTACAAAAAAGATGGAGCAAACAGCTGAGAAAGTAAAGGAAATGGATGCCAACTCTAAAAAAGTTAAGAAAAAGGTGCAAATGCTGGAAAAGAAGCACGCTTCGGATGAATTTCAACTTTTACAATTGCAAATGGAGAACGCTAACCTGTTCCTCTGGTTCCAAGGGGTCCCTAAATCCAAAGATGAGAATCTAAAACAACTTTTGAGCGAGGGATTAGCTCCAGTTACAGATTTAAAAGCGGAATACCTTATAAGCAAAATGGACGTGGTCTACAGGGCCTATTCCGTTTATATATATATTAAAAAATCTGCCTGGAGAGATAGTGGTGAGATTCTCGAAGAGACACGTGAGGGATTTAATCCTGAAAGCGACTACAGGAACACCCCTGAAAATGGGAGGTGTCCCATTTGAAATAAGGAAGAAGAGGAAGAAGTACAAATACTTAATCCTCTTTCTACAAACAAACAGCATTTCATACAGATGGCTGACCCCTGAAGGCGTCATTTTCAAACTACAGGATAAAAAAGAAAAAAAATTGACTCTGTTTCCAAAGCACGTGAGTTTATGAGACTGCAACTGGGTGAGCCAGAAGAGGACTCCAAAGAAGATGACAGCAAACTTGGTGACGAAATGGACTCAGTGTCTTCCGACAAGGACTCTGCTTCAGAAAAGGGGGCGGCTGCCCCTAAATGAGAATACCAATTGAGGATTAGAAAAGATAAAGCAAAGTGAAGGCTGAAGAACTCTGAATGGTGCCTTAAAGCATTTGTTGTAAATGATGTTCTTGGGGTTGTCTTTAAACAGTTAAAAAATTGTAAAAATGGTTAAAAAGATAAATAATTTAGCTTAATCGACTATGTTCAATGTAATACTAGCATTTTAGATTAACACTTATATAAACTGTTGTAATGATCTCCTATACTTGGGGTTTTAGTTATTAGTGGTTTTCTTTCCGTTCTCCCTAGATGTAGAAGACCCTTTCCCTTTTTTTCGTTGCAGCTTGTAGAAAATGCAATTAAAAATCCCCTCTGGGGGGCATAAAAAAAGAAACTTTGTTACAGCACACTGGTTTTCATGGAATCAATGGGTAGTAGACCTGCTGTTTGAACTTAAAAGCTAGGCCTACTGCAGTGGATTTTAAATTTTGGGGGTGGGGGTTAAAGCGCTGGGGAGCTCTCTAGTCCACCCTTACAGGTTTTCCTTTGGACTCCCTCTGAGCCCATGAGGCCTTGCAGTGAGGACAAACCAACTCAGAGTTTACCAGTTGCTATCCTTTAGACAGTTTATCTCTCTGGTCCCTAGCATTATGTTTTATGGCATACAGCGCCTGATAAAATGTCATTTATGTCAGATATGGCTCTCCTAACAAATGAGTTTGACGCCACTGCTTTAAACTTTATTTGGTCACGATTTTCAATGGACAGTCTACCACCCATTGAAATAATAGCCCTTTAAAGCTTAATGAGCCAACGTGCCACCTGAAAAATAGCAGAAAGGTCTTCCAACACAATTCCAGATATTTCCTGTGTTATTGGGAGTGAAACATTCAAATCAGGAAATATCAGGACAGCCTTTCACTGTATTGTATACTGATAATCCAGTCCAATTCCAGAAACACTGTGTACTTCACAGGGTCAGCAATATCTGACTGCACACTTGTAACTGCAATCCAAAGACATCCTTTAGCATTGCAGCTAAAGCACTGCATAGGGTTTTGTTTCGTTGTTGTTCAGCTACAGCTCAATGTACTGTCAACTTTCCTGAATGGGAGGAAGTTGCTTCTGAAAAATGGGAAAAATCATACAATATGTGTGGAACCCACAGTATGGTCCCTTGAAGTAGCCCCTACATCTTCAGTCATAAAAATAGCACCTTCCAAATGTAACATAAATTTCTGAACTATGTGTATTCCAGCTATCAATGTGTGTTCCTGCTATCAATAAATACAACATTGGGATGAATCAGTACACAGCACTAAACAGTCACATATTATTTATTTATATCTGGTCTTTCTCACCAATGGAGACCCAAAGCAGTTCACGCTGTTCTCAGCTAACATTATTCTCCTCCATTTTATCTATATAATTTTTATTTTTATTTTCTACATAAATCCTACAAAACTACACACTAACTAAAATTACAGCTATACAATGACCATATATGATAATAATTATTATCTTAAGTCAAAGCTTTTCTCTTATTCAGTTTAAGAATAAAAATTATATTCTATTATTTTGATATGCAAAATTTAAAATTATTGACAATGCAAGATTATGTAATGTAATATAAACATTTCTTCTAAAGTTTAAGCAATTTTCTGTCTTTCCTTCCTCTCTTCTTGCTTTTATTGTCCCGGGGTGGTTTGGGTGCTGCCGCTCCCAATTCTGATTCTACTTCTGAGCTGCCATCTGGGGACGTTTCGTGGCTTTCCAAGCCATGCGAACTGTCCAATTCTCCTTCTTCTTCTGGGTTCTTTGTATCCTTTTTGGGTTCCTGATGTCTTTCCAAAAACTGCTTTACTTTGGTAAAAGAGTAAATCTTTTCTTTTTTTGCCTTTGTGGTTGAACATCAAGCCTTCAGGTAGTATCCATCGGTAGGTAGTGGAATTTTCCCGTAAATAGGTGGTTAAATTCTTGTATTGTTTTCTCTTCTTCCTTTAGTCCAGGGAAGGAAAGGGGGTGGGGATGGAAAAGACATTTTGGCAGCTTGCTGACAATTGTTTTCTCTTCTTCCTCATCTCAAATGGAACGTCTTTTAGTATTCTGATGTCTTCTTTGCTTTTCAGTGTAGTCCCAGATGTTGCTTTCAATATTGCATCTCTTATAGATCTCTTAGAGAATCTGACGTATATTTCACCAGGCAGGATTTTTTTCTTAATAAATTCTGAATATGTCTGATAGATCATATCCATTTCGCTTTGTAATACTTCCGCCTTGATGCCTGTCACTGGTGTAAGTGCTTCAGTAAGGATTTTTCAGATTCTCAGATTTATCTTCTGGTACACCTTGAAATCTCAACACGTATGAAGATTTTTCCATTTATAGCTGCAAAAGTTGAGTTTTATCTGAAGATCTTTCTTTTTCCACAACTTCCAGTCTTTGATCAATTGCTTTAGTCTTGTTTTCAACTTCTTCTGTTCTTTTATTGGATTCT